AATTAAATAAATATTTAGTTATTCACATAAAAACACATGTATTTTTATTTATGCTTCTAGGGTTAACAATATTTTAATATAATTAATTTTAATAAAAAATTAAATTAAACTAATCTAATGATAATGTAATGATTCTTGTAAATTAATAAAAATATTTAAAAGTCTAGCTTTTAATAGTAAAGTAAATTTTCAATTTACGAATTAATATAAACGCATGAAAATATTTATAAAATGGATAAATAAATATACTTTATTAATAATTACTTGAGTCCAGAAATGTTTACAATTTATTTTTAAACATAAACTGTTATAGCAAATGGTGTTCAATAATTAACCATAGTAATACTCAAATAAATTACTAATTTAACATTATAAATTCAAGGCACATTAATTTATAATTTTGTAATTTTATTAAATTTTACGTTATGTTATTTTTAGTATAAATTTTAAGGCTTATTTATTTTAAACATTGACAAATAATAATTTTTTTAATTTAATTTGAATTTAAAATAAATTTATTTGTATTAATAATTTGTTTTAACTTTGTGTTTAATTATAATATTTTTAAAGTCACCAAGATCGTTAACCTTAAGCATAAATAAAAATACATGTGTTTTTATGTGAATAACTAAATATTTATTTAATTAAAGTTTTATAAATTTAAATGTTATTTTAATTATTATATTTTAATTTATTATGTTTTTTATATTAAGCAATGTTAAACTAATATATTATTCATGAGTAATAATAATGAGTGTTCAACAATTATTATTATTAGTTAAATGTATAATAATTATTAACATTAAATGCAGAATATTGTGTGGTATTAATATTTACATTTTTATAAAGTTAATTGATATGTAAATTGACATGTTTAAATATTTTTAAAAATAACATTGTTAATATTTAAAATATCATTTATAATAACCGTAGCGCCGACTGTCCGGTTAGGCAACTATACAATTATTGGTTATGTATCGCAAACATCAACCGCTAGTCTTAATAACACACAACTTAATGCCACGATTCCGATAAATATATTCTTGGTAATTATATAAATAATTGAATATTTTAAACATTAATTAACTCAATCATGTAGGGCATACCATACGCCACACCACCGGTGGGTGACCTGCGTTTCCGACCGACAGTTCCCATAAGTTATGCGCAAAACATAACAATAAACGCAACAAACTTTGGCAACACTTGTCCGCAGACGGGCTATACATTGCCCGACAACGAGGACTGTCTGTATCTAAACATATGGACGCCAACACTGAATACTAGCGCAAAGTTACCTGTTATGTTTTGGATCTATCCTGGTGGTTTCTACAACGGATCTGCCGATCAATATGACGGTCGAGATTTTGCCATAAGAGGCGTGGTTTATGTATCCATGAATTTTCGTCTAGGTGCTTTAGGCTACCTGTGCACCAATAGACCGGACGCGGCCGGAAATATGGGTGAATTGGATCAGAGAATGGCATTAAAATGGACGCAACAATATATCGGCCACTTTGGCGGTAATGGCAATGATATTACACTGTTTGGTCAGAGCTCGGGTAGCATATCGGTGAGCGCACACATGCTTTCCAATGCATCCAATGTTTACTTCAAGAAAGCTATTCTACAATCGGGTGAGAAATATATTTAGATAGTTATTCCCGGCGGTTTGGTATGCGTTAGTATACCATACAATCCTTATACAAAAGAATTGTTAACGTATTAACTATTAAATCGTTACACAATTGTGATTAATTTATAAATTACATTTATTATTTTTACTTATATATACTATTTCACAAGGCACGATTACCACAAGCATTTTTGGCTCAAAATCGGCCAACACTATGCTTGCTAAAAAGTTTGCTACGTTTGCTGGTTGTAATCCGCACACAAATTACGTCCAATGTTTACGTAGAAAGTCTGTGGCCGAGATAGTGTCGGCACAAAATAATGCCTATTTATGGAATAATAAGAATACGATTGGCATTCAATTCGTATCATATAAACCGTTTGGCATCTGCTATGACAGCGAGTACTTACCCCACAATCCCATTGAGTTATTACGAAGACGTAATTTTCGGTCTAACCTAAAAGTCATAACTGGGCATACGATCATTGAGGGGGCATTTCTGTCACCACTGCTTAACGTTGTTATACCCGAATGGGGTCAATACTATCCCAACGTTACAGTCGCTCCCATTGATAAACAAGTTGCTTACGATAACTTATGTACATTATTCGCAAACACACCTTATGTTCAACAGTTGACACATAAATATACGCAAACTTTTAGTAACCGGTATAACGATAGCCAAAGTAGTGGTTTACGGGCGGCTGTCGTACAGGCGTTTTCCGATTACGCCTACACGTGTCCGACGATATTGTTTGGCCAGTATTTGGTTCAATATTCAAATTTCTCGGTTAATTTACATCAATATTACCTGAAGTACGCCAATAGTCAGTCGGATTGTTATAACAGCACGTGGTGTTATGGAGCCAAACATACCGATGATTTGCCGTTAGTTTTTGGTCAACCATTTTATGAGCCCAACTATACGGACACCGATCGATACATGAGTGCACTTGTAATGGATATATGGACAACATTTGCGAAAACAGGGTATTTTATTACTTGATAAAATTAATTATTGTAAATTTTAAAAAGTAAAATTATTTTGTGTAATTTGTAGTACTTTGCCCAAAGTGAATGACAAACGTTGGCTGCCATACACACCACTACCCAATGGTGGGGTTAGTTTAAATTATATGCTATTGTCGTCCGATTTGAGAGAATTGGGGGAAAATTTTATAAATAAATATTCGGGAAACAATGGCTTTAATCCACCGGTTATTCAAAATTGTAAACATTTCTGGAATCAACTAATTATTGATTCATTTGAATAAATGTAAACTTTATATTATAATGTTTAAATGGTTATGAACAAAGAGTTGTTTTTACATATTATTGGCGGTTATATATATCAAATTAAAGATCTATGGTCATTTTGAGCATTTTGTAATTTAAACGTTATTTCTGGTCACTAAAATCAATTTTTAATAAAAACACCCAGTTAATATTAAAACTACTTGACATTTAATTTAAGAATCCGTTAAAATTCTTTGAATAACTTGTTTAGTTATCACGCAAATTGATTTTGAATTTTGGCCCAAAATATTTTCTTCGTACAAAGTGGTTTGCGTTACATAAATAATTTTTGTATATTTATTCTTATTTATTAATTGTTTATTCACGAATAAATTTTCATCTCAATAAAATCAATTTTTTCAAACATTTCTCAACGTCTTTACATTACATAAAGTTAACTTTTTATGACTGAATTTTATTAATAAACCATAAATAACTACATTTTATTAAATGCATCAATGATTAGTTGATTAGCATCAATATTTACAGTTTTGAATAACTGGTGGATTAAAGCCATTATATTTATTTAAAAACATTTTCCCCAATTCGCGCAAATTGGCCGACAATAGCTAATAATTTAGACTAACGTCACCCCCCGGGTAATGATGTGTGGGGCAACCAATGATTATCATTTACTTTGGGAACAGGTCTTATAACAAAATACAAAATATTATGTTTAACTTTCAACAAATTAAGTTAATATATATAGAATATTAATATTATTTATTAAAATACCCAGTTTTGGCAAATGTTGTCCATATATGAATCATGATAAAACTCATGAATTTATTAGTTTCTGTCAAACCTGGCGGCAGGAAAGGGAGTCCCAAAACTATATAAATATTTTGATACCACAGAGTATGCTGAATTTGTTGTAAATAAATATTATACAATTAATTAATAATATTTGTTAAACATATATTTTATTCATTTATTAATACAATTTTGTTTTACATAAGTATTGTAAATGAAAGTAGCATCATATAAAGTTTTTAAAATACTGATCAAATGTTTTCTAATGTTGTAAATCAAAACATATGTATTTCACAAATTTAAGGTTAACGATGTCATAAAAGTTTGTTAAAATGTAAAATTTAAACTAGATTACTAAAATAAATATTACTATCATTAAGTTGCAGATGTTTTTATTTCTAATAATCATGATTATAGATTTATTCAAAGACTATACGTTAAATTCAATGTATATTTTTAAATTTTAAATTTTGTGATTTATAATTTAAATAAGTTACCAATATGAAATTAATTAAAATTTCAAAATTTGTTTATAAATGTTTAATAATTTTTACAATAAAGTTATTTATTGACAATAGACAAAGTGCATTTTGTGGCATTTATCAATGTATTTAAAATAAATATGTACCATGATAACAAATGATTTATATTTGGTAAAAATAATTTTAAAATATCAGATAATGATCATGTTTATAATTTTGACTAGCTAATTCGCCGACTGTCCGGTTAGACAACTATACATTTATCGGTTATGTATCGCAAATATCAACCGCTAGTCTTAATAACACACAACCAAATGCCACGACTCCTATCATTATATTTCAGGTAATAAAGTAAATAAATGACATATTAAATAAATTACCCTAACACATTTAGGGCATACCATACGCCACACCACCGGTGGGTGATCTGCGTTTCCGACCGACAGTTCCCATAAGGTATACACAAAACAAGACAATTATGACCACAAAATACCGCAACGATTGTCCACAAAATGGCAACTCATTGGATAAATACGAGGACTGTTTGTATCTAAATATATGGACCCCAACACTGAACACAAGTGCCCGCTTACCCGTGATGGTGATGATATCACCAGGTGGTTTTTTGGTTAGTTTGACCACGACTATCATGGGTCAACTGTTGGCAATTAGACATGTGGTGTATGTGCAAATGAATTTTCGCCTAGGTGCTTTAGGCTACCTGTGCACCGATAGACCCGATGCGGCCGGAAATATGGGTGAATTAGATCAGTCAATGGCATTGAAATGGACGCATAGATATATCCGGCACTTTGGCGGTAATGGCAATGATATTACACTATTTGGTGAGAGCTCAGGAAGCATATCGGTCAGCGCACACATACTGTACAATGCGTCCAACATATACTTTAAGAAAACAATTTTGCAATCAGGTAAAATGATATAAATTTAACATTTTTAATGTTTTTAATTTAACATGTTTTCATGGTTAATTAACCTAAAATTTATTAAATAATCTAAACCCATATATAAGTATTAACAAGTAATCATTTTGTCATATTTATATATTTAATTTTGTAGATTAAATATATATTTAATGAACGATTATATTAAAATTTTTATATAAATATATCATTTAATTTTATTTGTTTAATATTTATAAAATTTGAAAAGAAAGCTTAAAAAATTGTTAAATACAAGTCGGTCCAATATTAAATTTGTTAATATATGCAATGTTTATATAATAATGAAATTTCATGAAAATTACAGTTTTCATATAATTAAATTAAATAACATTAATATATGCAAAATTTTANTGTTAAATACAAGTCGGTCCAATATTAAATTTGTTAATATATGCAATGTTTATATAATAATGAAATTTCATGAAAATTACAGTTTTCATATAATTAAATTAAATAACATTAATATATGCAAAATTTTATTTTTATGCAAAACTTAAAAATTATTTTTAAATTCTAGCAAACTATATCTTTTATAAGTAAATATTATATTTTACAGCTTACAATTTATACAATTTTATATAATGTGTACATTTGTAAACACAAATATATAAAATAAATAATCAAAATTATTCAAATTAAATATTTATGTGCATAATAAATAAAATTAATTCATCTGGCTTTACCAGGTTCAATATTCAGCAACGATGTCGGATCGGTAGCCGATAATACACAAGTTGCCAAACGATTTGCACAATTTATGGGCTGTAATCCTAACAAAAATTACGTCCAATGTCTGCGCGGAAAGTCTGTGGCAGAGATAGTGTCGGCACAAAATAACGTTCAATTGTGGAATAAAGGGAACCAAACGGCCATTCAAGTCATTGCTTACAAACATCCGTTTGGCATATGTTATGGCAGCGATTATTTACCCCACAGTCCCATAGAGTTACTACGGAGACGTAATTTCCGACAGGATTTACAAGTACTATCCGGACATTTAATAATAGAAGGTGCTTTAATCTCACCTGATTTCGGTTATGTGATACCCTGGTGGGGTCAATACGATCCTACTGTAGCCACTGTGCCCATTGACAAACAACTGACCCAAGGTGATATATTAACAATATATGCAAATGCCCCGTTCGCCAATAGGTTAGCCCAAAAATATACCCAAGGGTTTAGCGATCGGTTCAATGATAGTCAAACTCAAAGCCTTCGGGCGGCTGTCGTTCAGGTGCTCTCCGACTACCGGTACTCGTGTCCGACGGTATTGTTTGGCCAGTATTTGGTTCAATATTCAAATTTTGCGGTTAATTTACACCAATATTACTTGACGTACGCCAATAGTCAGTCTTATTGTTATAACAGCACGTGGTGTTATGGGGCTAAACATTTCGATGATGTACCCTTAGTTTTTGGTCAACCATTTTATGAGCCCAACTATACCGACACCGATCGATACATGAGTGCACTTATGATGAATATATGGACAGACTTTGCGAAAACTGGGTAATTGACTATCCTATCAAATAATTAACAA